TGTACGTTAACAGGTGGAGCTTCACAGGTTTCTGGGATTTAACAGGTTTAGGTTACCAAAAGCTAGTATCTAAGCTAGAAGATCGTTTTGGAACAAGAGGTCATGAAGAGTCATACAGGTACGAATTACAGATTCTTCGTCAAAAACCTGGTGAGTCGTTACGAGAGTTGTCGATGGTTACTAAAAGACTCATGTCATTAGCCTATCCAGGAGAGCAGTCAAGATTAGCTACACATCTAGCTAGGGACTTTTTCTTGTCAGCCCTCGATAATGCTGAATTAGAGTTAAAGGTTAGGGAAAAAGAACCAAAGAACATTGACGATGCTCTTAGGTTTGCACAGCGTCTTGAAGTTTCAAAGATGGTGGTAGATTCATTTCACAGGTTTAACCCGCAGGTTAAAGATTTACAAGCAGGAGCAGAAAACATGGAGTCGATGTTACGACAGATTGCGTTCCTTCGAAAGTCATTCGAAGAACTCAGAAATAACAGAGCGCAGCCAACGGTATCCCGATTGAGCGAGAGAAAATTTGTTTCAATTGTAAGAAGACAGGTCATCTTGCAGTCGAATGTCCTCAGAAGAATAAGACCTGCAAATCTCAAACTTATAGTCAAGTGAATTTCAAAGGTTGTTACAAATGTGGAAAGACAGGTCATTTTGTGAGGGAGTGCCCGCAGAAAGGAATGACAAGCAGCACAGTGGATCACGTGAACAAGTCAATTGAAAGCAACGATCGTGTCATGTATCTGCCAATCACAGTTAATGGCAAAAGAAGATTAGGTTTACTTGATAGTGGCAGTAGTGTATCCATTGTTCCAACGTCTATGGTTGATATCACAAAGATCAGACCGACGGAAAAGAGATTGAAAGCTGCCAACAACACAGAAATTCCAGTCAAAGGAGAAATGAAGTTGCAAATTAAAGTTGATGATTATTCCAAATCAGCGTTGGTATTGGTGTCTGATCATGTTTCAGAAATTGTTTTAGGTTTAGATTGGCTCAAGAACAATCATATCTCGTGGAAGTTTGGCGAAGGAAAAATCGCCGTGGGTAACAAAAATAGAACGATGAAATTAGTTATTAAACATTTTTCACGCAGGAAGCTTTGTCGTATTGAAGCTCACACGGAAGTGCGCATCCCTGCGCGGACTGAATTAGACGTGCCAGCAAAGATGATTGTTTGCCAGCAGTCCAAGTTGGAATCGACCGGATTTATGTGTTCGGAAAACAGACAAATAGAATCGGGTGTATATGTAGCTAGAACGTTACTACCTATAAAATATGAAAGACAGTGTGTTAGGATCTTGAATGTCAATGATCAACCGAGGGTGAAAAACCGGGGAACGCGATTGTCAGATTTATCATCGGCTGTGAAAGCAAAGGAATCAGTTGATCGTCTAGCATATGAGAATCTAATAGAAGTTACAGGTATGGTTGAATAAAAGATATTCTTAAGAAAGCGAGAGAAGAGTTGATTCGAATACTTAAAAGTTTCTCAGACAGATTCAGCTGTGCGAGTGGAGAAATAGGTGCTGTAAAAGGAGTTTTTCATAAGATTGTTACTCAGGATGCACGACCGGTAAAACAACAGCTGAGGCGACATCCACCGGCGCATCAGAAGGTGATTACGGAACAGGTTGAGCCTGAAAACATCGCAAAAGACGATTCCATAGGGAAGCCTACAGAAGCACCATCACGAAGTAGCGACGAGTCGACCGAGTTGCTTGTCCAAACCTGGACAGGCGAAGATACGCCAGAATCTTTACCAGGGCAGCTAGACATCGTTCCAGAACTTGTGAGGCTTGCTGACGAACTCTTTGATCAGCTACCAGATTTGTTCGCCGTAGGTAACCAGCCATCGATGGACCTGTTTGCTGGTCTGGACGAACAACCGACAGAAAACGATAAGCAACCGACGGAAATTCAATCGAGCACGACGGCCACGACAAAAAGAAAAAGAAGGAAACCGACGAGGTGGGGACCGGAGCTAGAAAAATGGATGGTGGAAGTTCCTGAGTCTGGTGAAGATCTATAAGTACAAACGTCGGGACGACGTTTTAGAGGGTGGGGAGCTTTGTGAAGTTGTGACAATTGCGATGATAATGATTGCATGATTGAAATATGCCGCCTGTAGATTTTGTGAAATTGTGACGATTGTGATGATAATGATTGCGCGATTGAAATATGCCGCCTGTAGATTTTGTGAAATTGTGACGATTGTGATGATAATGATTGCGCGATTGAAATATGCCGCCTGTATATTTTGTAAAATTGTGACGATTGTGATGATGATTGCGTCTTTGACGTGCCTGTATATATCTATATATTTTAATAGACATTCTATGCATGTGTATATCTTATTTGATATGCTATATATGCGACGCTGCTGTGCTGTTTTGTATATAGGGAGTATAGCAATATAAGCGACGCGTGCTACGCGCTGTTCTGAGTATAGGAAAAGAGTATAGATGTGAGTATAGAATTTTCTATGATATAAAAAGCGTTATGTAGATAGGGCGGTAAAAACATATAAAAGGCCGCGAGTTGAGATATAGGAGGTCGTTCGTTATTTTTATTTTAGGTTTTGTTTCTAGCTTGGTTTCGTCTGCCTGACAGTTATATTATTAATAGATTGTTAATTTTGGATTTATCGCTTTTTAATAAAGACAGGGGTTTGATTTGTACTATTTTGTTTGTTATTTTGTTTCTTTTATTGAATAAAAGAAGTGTACACTTGAAATTTGGCTCGGCTTAATTATTCTACCTAAAATAATGGATGTTGAAGAGGACTTGCTGATAGTTGACGAGGTCGGCGTCTCTAATCAACAAGCAGGGCGCGAACAAACTTCCGCCCGGCCCGTGTTTTCAGATTCTGAGAGGGTCTATTGTAGAGTTGCGGATCCCGGCCAGGAAAGACTCCGCCAAAGCGAAGGCTCGGGTAGATATTCGTATGCGGACGCGGTTCGGGACTGCGTGGTGCGGAATTCGGATGTCGCCCGGCGATAATCTACAGTTTAAATAACTACATTTTTCTTGAAATTATATAATGGGTCATACAATCTCTTTATTTTCAGTTTGTGCCGTTGTTAAAATTAGCGATACGTGTAAAATTGTTTATTGGTGTTATAAATTGAAATTTTAAAATGGCTGGTAAATGTTTAACCTGTAACGTCAATGTTAAGGCTGGGAAGAAAGAAATATTGCATTGCAAGTTGTGTAACTCAGTGACACAATAGAAATGCACCTCAATTTCTGAGTCAATAATTAAAGAAATTCTGAGTATTCCCAAATTTTTTGAAGTTGTGATAAATGTTTTGATAAATCTTCAAAAATCTAAACGAATTGGGAGAATATATAAAGAAAATTCAAGATAGCAGTGACATAATGTAAGGTCAGATGAAAAGGATATTTTGGCTAAAGTAGACAAAAGAAATATCGATGAAGACCTTGATGACAGGATCAATGTACTTCAAGAGAACCTTAAAAAGTCGTATACGGATACCTTAAAAGAAGTAGTAGTTAAAAACGTTGTAAAAGTAAACGACGATGTTACTAACATCAACGACGGCATACGGCTTTGAAAAAAGAAGTAATTTAAACAAGAGACCATTAAATCCTTCAGTGAGAATGGAGGAAAGGTTCTGTAATCTCATAATTTTTAGATTGAAGGAAAATCATGAACAGAGCTTCAGCGATGACAGGAAGGAAGACGAAGAAAAAATTGAACGTATTATGAATACAATAATTAATGACAAATTAGATAAATCATGCATAGTTACACTTCAGACTGGCCAGAAAATCAGATAACATCAGACCATTGTTAGTAAAACTAAAATTTAAAGCATTAAAAGATTTGATCATGAAAAATCAGTCAAACTTAAAAAAGTTAGATGATGATTTAAAAGGAATAAACATTGGTCACGACATGACTAAGGAACAACGAGCAGATTTAAAAAATTAATTGAAATTGCAAAGCAGAAGGAATAGCTGAAACTAGGATTTCATCTACAGATTGAGAGAAGAACTAGGAATCCTGAAAATAATAAAAGCCAAAAAAAGGATGTTTTAAATTTTCCATACAATAAAGTGAAAACTGTGTTGAACAAGGATGATGATGAGGGGAGAGTGTTTCCGATGAACCATGGTGGTAAGGGTGGTGAAGAGAAACAAAAGTCTTCAATTTACCTTTGATGATAATGTTGAAGGGAAAAAATTTTCAGTTGATCATAAAGATAACGATGAGAAGAAAAAGTTGGCAGAGATGATAACAACAATGATGGGCATAGTGATTGTAATAGCGGTGGTGGTGATGATAATGATGGTGGTGATAATAATAATAATAACAACAATAACGGCGGTAAAGTTGTTGGTGGTGAAACCGATGACTATGGCATGATTCTTGTTAACAATATAAATAATAAAAATGTAATAAATTGAAGTAAAAATATTGACAATATTAATAATAAAAATGTAATAAATTGAAGTAAAACGAATGTTAGTGATGATAACGGTAGTAATTGTGGTGGTGGGAATAATAAAAACAATGATGATAGCAGTGATAATAATGATTGTAGTAATGATAATGATATTGGTAATAGTATTGATAGAGATGATAATAATGATGGTGAGAATGATGATGATAGTAATGTTAACGGTGTTGGTAGTGATGGTGATGATAATGATGACAATAATTGTATGAATGGTAATGATAACAATAATAATAGCAATGATAACGGTGATAATTATGGTGATAATGATGATGGTGGTGATAATGATGGTGATGATATCAACGACATTAACAATTGTGACAAGATGAGTTTCAAGGGTAATGGTAAAAGGTACATATGGGTTTATTAAACATCAGATCGTTGATTTCAAAAGCTGACAGGATATACCATTTATTGAATGATAATCTGGATGTTCTTGTTTTGACTGAGACATGACATGTTTCTTCAGATTATGTCTCTGTTAAACTAGCTATGCCTCCGGGATTTACGTTTGTTGATTTTCTGAGACCTTATGACCCTGGTCACGGAAGTATAATAATCTATTTTCGTGATTCATTCAGATATAAGAAACTTGATCTACCATAATTGGCTACATTTGATGCAGTTGTTTTCATTTTAACAATAAATAAAATAAATGTTGTGTTACTTTCTGTTTATCGACCAGGATCACAGCCGGTATCCAGATTATTTTTTCAAGAATTGTCAAATATTCTAGAAAATATAGTAATATCAGGTGATCACATTGTATAACTAGGGGACTTAAACATACATGTGGAGAAAAATGATGATTATACATGCTAAATCATAATCCAGGTTATTTGACTTGTTTTCAATGCAAAATATAATTAAAGAACCAACGCATGATTTGAGTGAAATTTTAGACTTGGTCGTGTATGTGATTAGCTTGCTCATAACAGATGTTATAATATATCCACCTGGGGTTTTTCTGATCACTCTTTTTTTAATTTTGTTCGCCGATTAATCGCCCTCCTGTAGTGAAGACTAAAAAAGTTGTACGCGCCTGGAATCGTGTCAATGAAAATAAATTGATTGAATTGATTAAAAAATTGCCAATAAGTGGTGCCTGTAATGTTAATAATGTTGATAGAGCAGCAAAAATATTTAATGAAAAATTACTAAAGATTGTTAATATTGTTGCTTCCGTCCATACAGTAGAGTCAAGGGTAGTTCAGATGGCACCATGGTTTGATGAATATTGTAGAGAAATGAAACGTGCTTGTAGAAAATTGGAACGAAGATACAGAAATGTTAAATGTTCAGAAAAAAAGAAGATACGGAGAGATTAAATTATTGTAAAAAATAAATACTTTGCAAAAAGAAGAGAAATGTACTGGAAAAATTTAGTAAATGTTAATGCTAAGAATCCAAAACAACTTCGGCGAGTCTTAAATAAAATTTTATGTAACAAAAAATCTGGTAAGAGTAACGATGCAAACAGTGATAATACTGCTAATATATTTGCAGATTTTTTCATAAGCAAGATTGATAATTTTAAAAAAAGATTATCGTACAGGGCTCATCTTCTTTCAGTACTAAAGTGAATAAAGATCAAAGATTTTGTGATTTTCTTCGGTGTTCAAGAGATGATGTTAAATCAATTGTTTTAAAGTCATCGCCAACGAATATTTTTAAAAAGCATATCGATCTCTTCTTGTTCTTTATAATTGATTTGATTAACATGTTTGAAAACTGAAATTTACCCATCAATTTATTGACAAACAATTATTATACCGTTGCCAAAGCAGCCATTATCTGAGGCAAATAACCCTCGGAACTTTCGGCCTATTTCAAATTTAGCATTCCTTGCAAAGATTGTTGAAAGAATAGTATCAAAACAAATATTAAAATATTTCAATGACAACAATCTTTTGCCTCATGTGCAGTATGGATATAGACAATTTCATTCAACTGAGACTTTAATTGGTAGAAAATTAAACTGGCCAAAGAAAGAAAAGGTTTTTGGAAAAAAAAGGAAAAAATAAAAATAAAAAGCAGCTTTGCTCAAGGTATTATCAACTCTGTTTTATGCATCTGATTTGAAGCAGGTGTCATTGGTAGCATTGTTTGATATGAGTGCAGAATTTGATTGCGTTGATCATAATATACTAATGCGGAGGTTGTCTATAAATTATGGAATATCAGGTACAGTGTTGAAACTTTCTGATTCTTATTTGTATGGCAGGACAACAAATATTTTTTTAAAATAAATATTCTAATAAAGAAAAAATGTTAACAGGGGTTCCTCAAAAATCAGTTTTGGGCCCATTTTCTTGGTTTATACTGCTGATGCTTTTGATATCATTGAGAGCTATATGAGAGGTTATGCTTATGCAGATGATATAAAGTTAGTGTTGAGTGCATCATTTAAAATGTTTTAAAACTTAGCTAATAGACTGAAAGATGCTCTCTCTGCAGTTAACACTTGGATGGCCCAAAATGGTATAAAACTAAACAAAGACAAAACCAAATTATTGCGTACCTGGTAGCAGACTTCGAAGATACGTATAAAGTCACTAAAGATTCTGCTATTAAATTTGAAGAAACAGAAAGGATTCTTGGGTTTACGATAGATACCAATTTATTTATGCAAGAACACACTAGGCATATGGTCAAGTCGTGTTTGTTTCAAGTAAAAAAGTATTCAAACAAAATCACCATGATAGCGTTGATCCATTAGTTTGTTCATTCACAATTGGACTATTGCAACAGTCTATTGTATGAAACATCGAGAAATATGGTTAAAATGTTGCAACCTGTTAAGAATAGAGCTGCTAAAGTGGTAATGGGTGGTGGGAAGTTCGATCATGTTTCTCCATTCATCAGGGATTTACATTGGCTGTCGGTAGAAAAAAGGATCGTGTTCAAAATATGTGTGTTCAGATGTTTGAATGGTCTTGCTCCACAATACTTGTCTAAAATGTTTGGATTCAAGGATACGAATTCATAGAACTTTGTTTTAAAATCAAATGATCAGAACTATTTAAAATTTTCGGCAACTAAATCGAAAATTGGGTCGAGGAATTTTGCTGTTTGTGGACAGAGGATATGGAACAATTTTCATTACACCATCCGCAGACCTGGAAAATCACTTGTGCGGTTTAAAAAAGAATTAAACACTTTTTTATTTGATATTCTATTTAGTCCTGGTTATGACATTAAACTGACCCTCACTGCCTTGTGAGTGATGTTAGATCATCAAAGGCTAGGCCCACCGCTTATAACTGTGGTTGCGTAAGGAAGGGCGTCCTGCGTAAAAATTAGCCAAATAAATTACTTATGATGACAGAAGTGACAATGGCCCTCAGTATCCGGCAGAAGAGGGTGAATGGCGTCGAGGGGTATTTCGGTTTCATCATAGGTAGCCAAACGGCAACCCCGATCTCGGGGAAAATGTCGTCTAAACGTGTGTTGTTGTTGTTTATTTGATATTCTATTTGATGAACATTATTATAGTTGTAAATGTGAACTAAAGAAATATTTTTTATTTGCATTTCGATATTTCTTCTCGTGGACAATATTACATTATATTTGAGAGTGCTTTTGAGTAACTTTTTAAAAAAGGCTCTGTAAATTTTCCTATAATAATAATAATAATATACATATATATTCATATATAATTCATAATTGGACAATATTATTATAGATTTATAGTAGACAATATTTTTATATATATAAATTAGTCAGTTCATTTATGATAATTGATTGTATTAAACATAATATTAGCATTTATATTTCGATTTTTAACAAATTATTTGTAAAAATTTATTTGTTTAACTTTTAATTTTATTTATTAATATCTAATTTAATTTTTAGTTTCACTTACCATAGTTGCAATATTTTAAACTGTAAATTCATATTTCAAACATTAACACTGATGATGCAAATTTTTCTGAAAAAAGCTTTTTTGTTGTAATTAAGTCATTTTAAGCTTAGTAGTTTTAATTTAAAATTTTTATAAATTTATTTTTATTTTAATATGTGTTATTTTTAAAACAATAGTAATAAAATGAATATTTAAAAACATTTTGTCAATTTAATTAATAAGTTAAATAATAAATTACAATATACTATTAGAAAAATATAAAAATTAAATTTTCATTAATATATAATAAAAAATGAAGTAGCGATTGAAATAAATGTTAATTGTTTACATAATGACCTTTTAAACTTTTATACTGTTAGACAAATAGCACTACCAGAGATTAACTACCTCACCACCACATGAGTAATCACTGATCACTAATTAATGACTAATGTTAGGGGTTTTCACTTTTGAACAGGATGTTTATGTTTTTTGTAAATCACTAAACTAACTAAACTAATACACATCATTGATAAAAAGGTAAATTTTTAAAATATGATTTTTTTATTTTAGACTTAAGAGTTAGATGACATCATAATTTCAAACTGTTTAATAAACAGTTTGGCAAAA